GGCCGCGGGAGGAAGGCGGCAGCGCGGGAAGCCGCTACGCCGCCCGCACCTGCGAGAGGGAACAGCAGCAACTCCCAGCGATTTAGTCCCCTCCCCTTTCCCGGGTGGTATAGGGATTTTTTTTTTTTTTCCTATTTTCGTCAACAGTTCAAGGCAGACATACAAGGCAATACTTAGGTAGCGAAGAAGAGCCCGGGACGTCGAACAATAGATGTAAAACTGGATCCGCTCTGGAAAAAGCAAGCTGAAATAAAATTCATGTAAGGAAATAATATATTTAAGTAGGTGTAATGCTAATCAAAAATAGGCTGCGAGGACAACAGGAGTACAGAATAGTTTGAAGTCATGTTTTCCTCCAAAGGAGCATTAAGATCTTAACCTGTGTGACCAATATAGAAAAACAAGTATTTTTCAGCTCTGTGCTACTACCTACCCCACTGAAACATCAGAGAGGTGGTAGGAGTATTAGAGATGTGAAGTCTTTTATCATTCCATGCATACAGCAGATTTTGATGTACAGTTTGAGTTGCACTGAGGAATTAAACACCAAGAATGCAAAGCAACAGATGAGACAGCTGCAGGTGGTGGAGGTCTTTATTGAGATTATAGCACAGATACACTTCTATAATTACCTTTCCACTTTTATACAATAGTTAAAAATGCTTGCTACAGTGCACATATAACTTAGTAACCAAGAGAATCCAAAACTTAACTGCAGTTCAAATAAATAAATAACCTAATGTTTTAAGGTTTATATTTTAATAAGGAAAAGGAACTGTACAATATGAAAATATAACAATACATAAACATTAGAATCTAAAGTTTTGTAGAAATAAAACTGCAATTTCCCATAAACAGTGCAAGAAATAAAATTCAGATAAGCTTCTGAACTGTGAAATTCCAACAATTCTTAAGTTATCATGCAGACATAGCATTTTAAGCCATGCTGGTTTCTATTATAGCATTAATGGTATCCCTTTTACTTGAAAGACTGATAGCCGTTAAACTCACTGTGACAACTGCTGCCAATCCACTCTTTTCTACAGTACATTATACACAGAGGTATTATGTTGCATTCAGAAAGTAAAATATTACATGTTTCTACTGAAAAAAAGTCAATATTTTACTTTTTCCCCCTCCAACATGTTCAAAACTATGTCATGTAGTAAAACCAGCAACATTTCCCCCAGTTTAGATGAAAAAAACCCCACACTATATAATGGACCATAATCAAGATGTGGTTACTGCCTAGTCACCTTTCAAGTTCAGAATTTATTACTGAAAAAGTTTAAATGGTGGAGATGTTATAAAGTTTGACCTCTTGTTGAGAAGTGATGAATATAATAAACCTGAAAAAACAGTGGAAGTAATTTATCTTTTGTGTGCGTAACCAACCAGTTACATACAGACTCGAAATGTTGTTCAACTTAAGTTTCTATATAAAATTCTCATTGAGGCAAAGACCAAGGAATGCAATTAATACCAAACTGTAAACACGTCATTCATGTTACTCTGAGTGCACATCAACAACATAAGAGTTCTCCTCAGACTTTGGCAACAAGACTAGGTCACATAGGTCACAGCAGCATGAGTTCACATGGAAGACTGAAAGCACTGCAAAAGAACATACTAAAAACACCAAGACCTCCTAGAAACCAGAAAAATCTGTGACAAGTGCCCCTCCTCTTGACACTCTTCCGCTCAACTGCTGCTTTCTCAATGCCTAATTATTATTATTACTTTAATTTTACAGTTCTGTAGTCTCAGGTCTCTGTGCTTTAGCTGCATAGGTTGCCTTTGTTTTGCACTCTAGCCGTTGTAAGTCCAAAGAGTTACAGTTCTGTCTGCAGAAGATGACAAGAAGGAAAGATCTTGTGTGTGCCACCTGCATTGAATAACTTTGTCCTTGTGCTCTCCCACCACCATAAGAGGAAGCTGCTTCGTGAGGTCCCCTATGGCAGAGGAACAGAAATCATTAGTCATAGTCAGTTCATGAATTTTTATCCCAGCTCTTTGGCTTTGAGGTGGGTTTTTCAGTGGATTGTTGTTTGTTTGTTTAGTAAAACTTAGGTATGTATTTCACCTTATGAAACACACTTGACCTTTCTCTCACACATACAGAGCATAACACAAGGCCCCAGTGTTTTGGTTTCTCGGCATTACTGGACACAGTACAACTTTAAAATACAAGTATTCAGAGTTTTTTAATGGTCCAAGAAAATCAAGTCAATTAGATATACCTGGTATCTTCTTTCTTAACTCCTCCCAATAAAAATAAGCATCATGATTATCACACTTTTTTTTTTTAAAAGGTCAGTTTTACAAATGCTGCCTGAAAGCAATGGCCATCTCATCAGGTAACAGTGTTAACTACTTTTTATCATTAGACCCTCCCCTCCAAAACAAGATTTAGTTCACAGCCTACAGTCTTAGCAATGCAACTAGCCAACTGCAAACAGCCATGATCACATTTATACACATTTCAAACCCTTCAAAGCTTTACTATTTTCCCCCCTTTTAAACTAAAACCTGATCTTTGAACCAAGTTCTCTTACAACTTCAGTTTTAAAAGCACCAAACTGAAAATGAACCTAGTATCCTTTGTAAGATGTATGTTACCTTGCAAGTCTGTCACCTTTATTTTCATATCATATGATCCAGTGAGCAAGTAGTGTGCCCCTGGAGAGAAGCGAACAGAACGAACATCACTGGAATGAGGATGATAGCTCTGCACCATTCGTCCTCCTCTGATATCGTACAACATACAGCTAGAGTCCTCTTGTCCTGTGGCCAGGAGACGACCACTAGGATCAACAGCTACTGAGGCTACAGCACTTCCTACAGGAGAAAAAAAAGCCCAACACACACATATTATACTTATGTACCTTTGTCCAAATAGCTAACTTTGTTTTTTAAAACAAGAATATATGTTGTATAAGAATACCAAATGCTGGCCTTAAATTTAGGGTGAACATACCTAGCTACCATTACCTTAAAAACACAATTTTTTTAATGTTCTAACACTTAAAACTCTGAAGTCATAGGTCACATAGGAATGGTAGAAGTCACTATTAAAGCTGCATGAGAAAAAAAATCCCTGTTTCATCACAGGAAAGTAATTCTTTATGAAATAAAGAATAATGCAAAGAATCCCCCCCTATTTATTGCTCCCCCAAATGTTTAAAGAAACAATATTAACCCAAGTGGTTCTTAAGCGTCCTTTTACAGATTCTATAGAGTATGTTAACCTGCAAAAATGTTTGCTCCTTCCCACCTTTTCCCTTGATTCTGGAACAGTTATCTTGTGTCTCACTTACTTGGCAGTGTCTGTTTGAAAGTCATAATGCAAAAAACTAGCCAACTTTTGAAAAAACACATTACTTAAAAAAAACAATCAAAACACACAGGCAAAACTATCTTCATGACTTCTTTTAAAGCCAAGCCTCCATTCTGGGATGCAAAACCCCCTTACATTCACTCTATACTATTTAGACATCTTTAAAATATATTTTTATGCAAGAATGGTCAGAAGCACACTAGCGGGTCTTACCCGTTCCATGAAACGTTGTTCCCACAACACGAACACAGCTTGGCACTCTCAGATCCCAGAATCTTACAGTCTTGTCTTGGGATCCAGATGCAATCATCCAGCCACTCCATGTATAAAGTGCTAAAATATGACCTGTGAACAGGAAGATATATTGATTTGATGAAACACCATTATTCAAATAATGAAATATTACAATTCTGATTATATTTTTTGCATTCAGACATTTAACGACCCTATGGAAAACCTGCAAGTTGCATAATCTAAAATGCCAACAGTGTAAGGCAATACCCAGCTTTGCATCTTCTCTGGAATGAAGCATGCACCACTCTCTCCATTAAATCAACAGCCAACATATTTAAAAACAAACACTCCCTGCTTCTCTCAAAATACCTCAAGAGCATTCTGGAGGAAAAAAAAGGCTTTTTAGAAAGAAACAGACAGATGTTAAAAAGAGCCCCAAACCAAGAACTTGCTAGAACGTAATAGACTTAAAAAGTGCAAGAGAGAAACAATAACATACATACCAGTGTGACCACTTAGGGCATGCAGGCCTTGACCTCTCTGACAATCTGTTGTGTAAATATTACAGTCCCCTGCCCCAGCACTTATTAAAATAGCACCACCGCTTTCTGGGCCTTCCATAAAAGCAAGGTCTCTGATTGTCCCATCGTGCATGCTGAACTCCAAATCTGGTCCTAAAATAATTTAAAAATCAAGGAACAAAGTGAGGCATACTGTGTTTAGTACTGATAGTGCTGCAACCTTTAAAGCAGCTACAGTGATAATACAGAGTATTTTAGGCAAGGGTGAGTACACTACCAAGTATAAACACTGTTGTGCACTTTTCATAAAACACACTATTTCAGTATCTTATTTTGACTGTTGCTTGAGCTTCCTACAGTTCCTAAAGCATTGCTAAATGTATGCAGACCATCTCCACAGCCAATACCAGCCAAGGTTTATAGACTACAGATTTTTTTTTTTTGTAAACTATGGTAAACTAAAAAGTCTTTCTCTGCCGGGAGGAAAGGATCACTGAGAACACTGAACACACAGGACAAGGTAGCTTAAGTTTAAAAGAGGAAAAATAAAGAGCTATATGCCATATATTGATTTGGAGGGTTGGGCATGCAAAATAGTAACTGCTGTGAGAAAATCCTTAGACTTCTGTGACTGGGAAGATGATGGCAGAACTAGACAAGAAAAGGGGGAGCTGGAAGTGGACATAAATGCCTACTGACATTCAATAACTAGTGTTGGGTAAGAACATCTGGTTGTTTTACCGTATCTAAAAAATAAAAAATCAAACCCCAAAACAAACCCCAAACCAACACCCCAAGCCTACCAGAAGACAGCACAATACCAGAGAGTGTTGCAAAACAAACCCAAAATGCAAACAAACAAAAAACCAAACAACACCCAAAAGATAATCCCTAACCCCTCAACGGCTCTTTGATAGACAGAAACTACAGTGATGGTGAAAAGGAAAAGACACTAAAGTTAAATGTATTAGAATAAAAATAACAAAACATATTAGCTACATAATCAGTGTGATTTGTACAGTTTTGCCAAATATTGGACAAATATTGAAAAAATTCTTTAAATACACACACATATTACCTGTTGCATTACAAGTGTCTGCATTAAAAGGCAGTACTTTCACGTATTTATCATTAGAACCAGTAGCTAACAGCTGTCCACAGGGACTCCAGGCTACACAGTAGATTGATCCTTTATGATGCTTGTTCCTTTTGAAGCGAACTACAGGTTGTTTAGGAGCATTATAAGCACTAGGAAAAAAAAACAAAACACACACAACCAATTTCCTTGTATTTTTAAGGAAAGCAACATATTCTAAAATGAAAATACTGTTTTTCTATTATTTTGGATAACAAATACATACAACTGTTTGCATTGAAACATTTACACATGATCTAAGACAAAACAAAAGGATTTTCTCCATTCCATTTTTCCAATTTTTCCTCATCTTCCTATTGTATCTGTGATTGGAGATGCAAAAAGAACTTACACAGTCCCTTCATCTATAAAGGGTTGATACAGATAAAATAGAGTAACTACTATCTACATACCCCAGAGTACTAAATTGTTAGGATTTTTCTCTACATTCTTCATACTTCAACAAATTGATCCTGCGGCCACTTTTGAACATGCTTGAGTTCAATTAAGCAGCAGTAAGCCAAGAAAACTCCTAAGGCACACACTACCTATGGTAGCACCCAGTGCAGCTGGCACAGCTAAGGCTGGGACTAAACTATCAGTCTGCAGACTGGGAAATCCAGATTCCTGAAAGAAAAAAGCAGAAGCCTGTGTAACCTCTGTGTATGTGTGCAGAAGCTGTTTCTCTTCCAGTTTCCCAGCCATCAGACAGTCCCTAACTGGGGATTGAGTTTGGTATGACAGGGTAATTCTATGACTGGGCTCCATATATTTGTGTTTGGGACTGTTGTTGTGCCTAGTAGTACTATAACAGTAAAAACTAAGGCCTGCTGTTTTATCCAAAAAGTTGATGTCTATTCCATCCTTGCTGTCAGAATGACTAGGATTCAAACACTTAAAGTGGTTAAAGGATCAGGAAAAATGCTTCTGTGTTAACCCTACCTGAGAAGACAGAAAAGTGTTAAGCAAGTACTGTCTCCTCTTTTTGTTATTTATTTTTACTTAATGGATAAAAACATACTACAAAAGAAGAAACTCATACACATTGACCATTAAGAGCTGTGCACCGGATATTATTTGTCAAATAAAGAGACTCCCAAAGCATCACTCATCTACCAGAAAATCTAATACAGCAGTCTGTGCAAGAAAGACACCTTCACCATTATATGTTAATGCAGGAATCTTCACAGCATCTAAACATGCCAGACATTCTTATTTCTGAAACCATATCAGCTTTACACATGGCTGAAATAAAAGGAACAGTGCCACTGATGTACATTTCCTCTATTTCAATCGATTAACTTCCTGCAATGTTATTTCTCTATTCCCAGAGCAGGAAGTAGTCAAGTGCTTAAGATAAAGTACTGCTGTATCTAACTCCAGCAACATTCACTCCAGTAACATCAACAATAGAAATTCAACTAATTAAGTGGCTGTTGAAAAATTCAGAAACCATACTATAAATACTTGAACAAAAGAGGCAGAGAGAAAAAAACCAAAATTTTTTAAATAGATGATTGTCTTCTGAGATAAACATGGCTTTAGTAACGAACACTAAAATAAATCTAGGAAGCTAAAATTTCCTAAATTAGGAAGCTAACTTTATTTTGTTGCCAGAGAAGAAATCCATGACAGATTTGCCTAAATCAGTACCATCATTCAACACACACTACAGAGCTTCCTAAACAGCCTAATGTCTTGTATCACACTCAGAGTTTGGATTCACATTATTTTTTAAGAGATGGAGGCAGCAGCTGAGAATCACTGATTTTGTCAGGACATGGGAGCACCTGTCCAGCACATGCTGCCAATCAACTGCATGGAAGCACTGTGATTATTTGAACAACATCTGCAGAATTGTAATGTGTATCTATCAGTGTTTAATCTCAAACGTACGAAAAAAGCACACTACTATTATACCTTTAGAGAAAAGAAAAAAAAAACACAAACCCAATCTGTCCTGACTCATACATCGATTTGAAGGACAATTTTAAAACTTAAAAAATTCCTAACAGAACTCTCTGATGTACAATTAAACAACTGCTATTTACCAGATATTCTACATGATAATAGCTTTTTGAAAAACATGAAAAATTTTGAATGAGTGTCTAGATTCTGGTTGTTACAAAGATTAGAAAAATTTTGGAATAATGTAATCTCTCTGCTGACTTATAAATCCCATTGTGAAATGTTTTTGGCAGACTGTAAGCATAGTGAAAAAAAGTAAGAGGAAGTTCAGAATTAAGGAAATATCAGTATTTCTTTCATATCCAGATGCACTATGTCACTTGTCACATCAAATCATGCACTGTAACTAGGGACTAAGGCTACAGAGTCAAGCTAACCTTTTCCAATGGTTAGTATAACAAGCTGTGCAAGAGAAGACCATAGTTATTCAGTGAAGAAGCATCCATTCCACTGCAAATGTTCCGCGCTCTTTACCAATCAACAGGCTGGCTGGGCTTCAGAAAGTCCAGCAAGTCAGCTTGCAGTGAGTATTGCAAAAATCAATTTTTTTGTTTGCCAATAAATATTTTGGAATTAAACTTCAAAGGCTACATTACTGATGATATTTTAAGGAGGAAAAGAAAAAACCAATTACTTTATGAACACTTTGGAAACCTGAACACGGAGTCCTAAACTGAGAAGGTGTCCCAGATAAAGTCACTGCGCATACTTGTAGTTCTTTCTGAAATTGTGAAGATTTAGATGCCTGCACTTCCCCTACTCCAAGAAAATACCTTAACTAGAGCAGAGACAAGGAGATAGTTATTGAGATGGCAATATTTATTTCCAGGTCAAAAAAACATTTTCCCCCCTCCTATTAAGAAAACAGAAAAAAACCCAGAAAAGACTAGGTATGCACAGGAAACCACAATAAGTGCTTTTCCTGTCAAGGAACCAAATAATTAGGAAAAGAGCGTTTATAGTAACAATGGGCCAACAGACATGCTCTGTCAAATTCTGCTGTAAAAGTTTAATAGGATATTGCTTTTTCTACTGTTAAGACTGTCCTCCTGCCAGAAACTGCATTTCATGAAGCCCAACTTGTGCTGGCTTGGGAACTGATACATGCTTTCTCCCACTTTTACAGCTGGAATATCAAAACCAGAGACCATCACAATAAAGACAGAAAAGCCCATCTGCTGAGACAAAACCAAAACTTTTATAAGGAAAGGAGTGGTATTGGTAGCAATGCACCTTACCAGTAATGTAAGGGAGCAAAAATGCAGCCCACAAATACCTAAATTCTTCAGCAGACCATCTTAATTTTGTTTGGCAGTTTAGGTTTCTAAGAAGAGGAGCACTGCACTACTTATAACAACACAAACAAAAGGTATGAAATGTACAGATACCAGTAGCTTCAAGAGAAAAGTGCTACAATACAGAAAAATAAGTCATTATTCAAGCTTTCTTACCTTGGGTCAATTACTTCTGGATAGGCACAAACTCTCAAAGTTTTAGAGTTGGAACCAACTGCATATAAACTCCCACTGGGATGAAAGGCTACAGCTCTGACAGCTTGTGTGTCTTCTAGAGTATTAATGCAAATGAACTGCTTTTTTGATTTGTCATCCTGCATAGAAAGGTAACAGTCAAATTAGGTTCTGCAGCATAGAACTGAACATTCAGAAGTGGGTGCAACTGTTTTACAGAATAATGTAAAACTACTATACCAAATTATTAAAATAGCAGCACCAGGCTAAACTATTCAAGTTAAAGATTTGTAAAGCAATATCTAGTCCACATCAAGGAATAGCATACTTCTAACAGTTCTTTTCTTCACCTCATTTTTACAGCTAACATTAGATTAATATTCCTCATTCTCCTGCCAGGCTTCCAAGCAGCTTTTCTTCTTCCAAACAGCCCATGTCAGATGCATGACATTACAGTTTATTTCAGTATAAACGCATTTGACCTGTGTTAAACTTGCAAGGGGAACAAAGTTGCAATTTTAGGGAAAACAGTCCAAATCATAAATACAGTTAATAAAACAAATGTAATACCAAAGAACCAGCTTTTCACACTGTAGATAACAAAGTTATCATAAAATTATAAGCTTCATTACATCATTCTCCTGACAACTTTGCCACCAGCTTTCTAAAAATTTTGATATTTATTTATTTAATGCAGAACTTTGGAATGTACTTATTACAAAGTTATTCCCCTAAAGTTGGACCACAATGACTGAAGTCCAACAATCAGTATTTCAACCTGGAAAATCTAAAACAATGGCTGTAAAAGACATCCCATTGGAATCTGTTGTCCAAGGAGAAGCTGAGAAAGCTGGGCCTGTTTGGCTTTGAGATCAGAAGGGCATTTCAGGAAGGGATGTGTGTGTATATGTGTGTGTAAAACTCATCTGCATATATAAATACACACTGACAGGAGGAGTAAAAAAAAAAAAAAAAGCGCAAAATTCTCAATGAAAGGACAAGAAGCAATGTTCACAAATTGAAATAGAGGAGATTCCATTTAAACGTTTTTTGTTGCTTTAAAAATCACCATCAGGGTAGTCAGACCTCAGGTTGTCCACAGAGGTTGTGGAGTCTCCATCCTTGGAGATACCCAAAACCCAACTGGAGCCATCCCCAATTAGCCTGCTCTCACTGAGCCTTCTTTGAGCAGTGGGTTTGGACTCAGTCTCCAGATGTCCCTTTCAGTCTCAATGGTCCTGTGATTTTGTAGGTACTGCATCAACTGAAGTTTATTCTAAGTATCAATTAACAATGAGAGGATGCTACAATATTCATTATTAAATACTGGATCTTGTGAAAACACAAACTGTAAAACAAAAAGAAAAAAAAAAACTTACCTCATCACCTCTTGTCCTACTTGAATTCCCCGGAGAGTCTTCCAACTGTGGCTGAGTAACAGCATGTTCTGATACACTGTTTTGATTTGGTAAAGAGTTTAAATGCACACCACCACAGGAAAAAAAAAAAAAAATTGGACTGAAGTTACAGTTGCAGTCATTCTCAGAACTGATTGATTGGTGTGAACAAGCATTACGAGTGTCAGATTCTTTATCATCACACTATTATTTTTACAAGGGGTTGCTGTTTTTGCAGTAAACTTCAGGCATTAAACAACTGAATGCAAGTTAAAAATATTTGTTTTCATCCATAACATACATATGTATACATGTAAGTGGAAGAATGGTTGTTGCTTTCAAGTCAGCACTACCTTTAACTTAACAGAAGAAATCTAATTTCCATTCTGCCCTGCTGCTCTCTCCACCTAGTTTTTATTTCATAAAAAATGTAATAGAACATAAACTAGAATTATGCATATAAAATGGAATAAAAAGTCTGAAACTAAAAGTAAACATAAATGTAAACCATAACAAATAAACACTATTTCTCATGTGTGCTGTCAAAAAAATAAAAGACTTTGTAATCCCTACAAAAATATATAGAAAACACTGATCAGTAGCTAAATACCCCTATTCAATGACAAATTCATTTGATAACTAAAAATAAATACAAAGAGCTACTCCTGCAGTGCTAACAGAAGGTTATCTCCAGTCCTGAACAGTCTCAAATCACTTACGTTTGATTCCCCTGTACAGGTGACTCTTCAGGGAAGGGTATCTGATTAGCTGATCCACGCTTTCGAGGAGTGCTTGTATTAACATTTGGGCTATCAGTTGTTATCCTCTGACTAGCATCTGAAGGCGCTGATGTAAAATTACTTGCTGGATGGGTAGATGCATTCATTTTGCTCCCATTACATTGCTGGCTAAGTGTTTGGACGTCATTTCCAAGACTGTCCATACCTATATTCAATTCTCCTAGTTTCTGGATAGATCTAATAACAAATGACAAGGAAAAAAAAAAAAAGACCACCAAACCAGGTTATTATGAGAACTTGAGGGGTATAGAGTGGGTGGAGGGAAAAAAAAAATAAAATAAAATCAACAAAACCCTCCCAACCTGTTAAGAAACTGCTCAGTAAGATTCTGTTGCTGGTCAGCTCCATCTTCTTGATTTACACCTCCTTCCAACAACATTTGCTGGTACAACTGTCGCTGTTGCTCCTTCTGTTCCAAGTGCTGCTGGTAACGTAGTCTTTGTCTGTAATATTCCTGAAACTGCTCTGTTGAATCGCGAAGCTAAAAAGAAATGAGAATTACTGATGAAAATTAAATAGTTAATTGCAGTACTTAACCTAAATATTCACTTTCTGGTTCGTTATTTCACTATAGGCATCAAAAGGCCAGCAGATTCTTCTTTGAGTGCTTTCATTCTTCCATAAAACCAGATACACTTTACATGTTAAAAAACTGCCAGCCTGTGCTATTCACTGTTGAAGTAGTTCTGCCATAATTCAGGAGGGGACTCCCCTTCCCTACAAAGCTTCCAAAATGTCACTTAAGAGCAAAATGAATAGGTGATTGGAAACTGAAAATAAAAATCAGAAAACAAACGTAAGCTACATTCCAAATTACAAGTCATATTTTTACTACAAAGTCACTATTTTCTGCCATGTTGACACCTCCCTGCCACCAGTCTGCAGAGCAAATTTACCTCTCTCAGTAGCCAAGCTTCAAGTGCTGAATCTTACTTTTGAAATTGGTGCCTTGTTGATACTTGACTGATACTTGTTTGTTGCAATTGGGGTCAATCTTTGATCCTTTGAATTCTGTCATTATTACCCAAACTAAGACCTAAACCTAAAATACATTGCCCAGATGTCCTATTCTGTAAACTCTGGCTTCTAACTCAATCCCTCCAGGAACAATGCAAAAATAAAGCTACTGAAAGAAACTTACATTAATTTCTTACTTGCACATGTATATACATATACCACTATAATGTGGAAAAGGCGAGGACTGGGTACTGCATTCTTTTTTACTTGTGTATAATAGTCTGGCCAACATCCTTACCTACAGCACAGCATATCTTGTCTTCATTCTCTCCTACAAATTCTGCATCTGTTTTTTTTGCCTCTTGAAGCCTGCTCTGTTCTATGTCTAACTAAGATCTTTCCTCCTTCCCCTTATCCCCAACGTGCATACACAATACTGCTGCAGCAGAGAAGTTACTTGGCAAAGTCCTTGGTGGGAGTGAAGTTCTCAAGTTTGAAGGACTTTGTTAATCCTTGTAGACATGAGTGAAGCAATGGGGCCTACTGGAAAACATAGCCCTGTCAAGACTAGACTGGTTTTCAGTACCATATAGATGTCCTAAGCCAAGACAAAGTTTACTTAAAAAAAAAAAAAAATCAAACTGAAGTCTGCAAATAAAACAGACTTCATACTCAATGCTATTCATCATTACTGAATTAAGAGACAGATATTTAAAAGCATAGAAAAAGAACAGTTAACTGTTTTCATTGTTTCCTCCTGAATTTTCCCTATATTGCTGTTAAGGAGAAAAAAAAGAAAAAAGGATAGTCAAGGCACAGGCCTTCAAAGATTAAAAAAAAAAGTTCTGCTATTGTATTCTGTACAGCAGATATATTAAAATTGGGTAATTCCTTAGTAAATGTGTTCCAGGCAGAAAATGATGTGAGATGACCAGATGACCTGTTTAACTTGGTGTTAACACCAAAAATTGCAGGCTACATACCAGATTCCTCACTGAAACACTTAAGGAGATTCTTAAACATTGCATTGTTTAATTCAACATTGCTGGCTTTAAGTACTGCAAAGCTTTTTTTTTTTAAGATATACACAACAGTTTAGCAACACCACTGATGTGAAAAGGCACACTAATCAGCTGCATTACATAGTCAAATCACACAGGACTTTATACAATGGGAAAAAAAGAGAGTAGTTTCTTATATAAGATGCAATATGGTATTTTCACTACAGTAAAAACAAGATTCAGAGCAACCCATTGTCACGCATGATATTCTCAACACAAAGACAAATCATTATGAAATGATCAGAACACAGTTCAAAAAGCCTCATTATTTTTAAACAAACAACCACTACCTCATTCTTCTCTTGTTTGGCTGATCCCTGACTCTGTGATCCAGTAAGTGGTTCATTTTCTGGAACTGAACTCTGGCACAAAGTCTCACTGCTGATGGGATGCTGTGGCTCCACAGGAGTATCACTTCTTGCAGTAACATGGAAAAGAGAAGAAGCTTAGTTGAGAAAAATTAAGAGTGGAAAATCCCCTGGTAAGTAGATAAAGATAACATTCTAGAGTAAAATCTGATTAATACAAGTGTGCAAACTTCTTAAGTCACATAAACCAGAAGATATTGCTTAGGAGAAAAACTGCAATTTGCAATGGGTCACACTAAACAAAATAAACCCCCAAACAAAAAGTACAGTGTGCTTTGTTCCCACCTTTTCCAAAAAGCCTTACCACCATGGGATATCCAAATTCCATGTTTTCTATCTCTACACCTGAACTATATACCCTTTAACTAACAAGTTATTTGAGGTCTCCTATTTTCAAAAGCAATTATGTGCATGGAATGTATCAGATATGATTAATGTCTCCTATAAAGTATTAGTTTAATTACCATTACCAATCTAAATTTAAACTATGTTTAACATCCATTGGCTTGGACATTTCCTGAAAGTGCTACAGAGGAAAATGTTTATATCAGTTTTGTTACTCTTGTGTTATACAAGTATTTCTTCATGGAACTCTTTCCAGAATGCTTTAGCAATCAATAAGTGCACAGAATACATTTAAAATTCAAAGCCCTGGACTCCTATCTTCAGTTTTGCCAACTTAAAGTCCTCTTTACTCAGAGACTTGAAGCAAAGCTGTTTAAGAAGTTACTTTAAACTTCAGGGGTATCTCCGTAAAAATCACAAAAGTAACTTAGCTGACTGAAAAAGACAAGTAATTGCTTGCTGAATACAATTTATAAAAGAAATATGTTATTTCTGTCATGTGCAAGAGGAAGCAAGGGCCAAATTTACATAAAGCTCATCTTCCCTGCTTCCACCCTTACAAATACTGTTGTTTAAACTGGACACATAATCTGAAGTTGGATTTTCTTCTGCAAAATGTAATGCCTTCTTTAAAACTATGGCTCTGTCCCCTTAACCTAATTCTAACCTTCGAGAGATGTATTAATGAAAAAACATGTTAAGAACTATAAACTTCATTTAACATCACATTAAAATGCTGACACAAAGACTAACTGCAGCAATTTACCGCTTCATTTAGCCCACAAGATAACTCTATTTGTGCAGAATTATTCCAGTACACTAATATTGAAAAGGAAACAAAAAGCTTTCAAGAATAAATTTTAACCTTGGACCCTGGGCTACATGCACCAATCTTAAAAGTTTGTGCATACAGTCCGGTAAAATTACAGGATCCACAATTCATTAGTATCTCCAGGGTACACTTTTAGAAAATGTAACACAAAGGATACTTCCCTAAGACTCAGGCTATCCACAAAAACTCCAGTTTTGAAGAGGCTGGTAAAACCAGAGATTTAAAATGGATCTTTTAGAATCAAACAAAACAGCTCTTTTCAAGATAAGCATTAAGGTCATGTATTAAAATATACATTACTGTCAACGCTTCCATTATCATTGGTGAACTGACATCAGCATGATGATGTTTGTTTCCTTTTTCTCGAGCTTATTTCCAGCTGCTCTTTATCTTAACACAAGATACAGAATTTTGCTCTAAGGCAAAACTAACAGTGTCAGCAACTGCAGCCAGGACTGAATACCACAGCTCTAAAAGTGTCCTCTGCTGGCCAGTGCACCCCACTGCAGGGAGTTACCCACCCGGTTCTCTAAGAGCCAAAAAAGCCGGCAGCAGGCTGCTTTCTAGAGAAGCTTGGATATAACGTTTAGAATGGGGCAGAACTGCTGATCAAAACAAAGGCCAAGCAAAAACAAGATAATCTCTTAATTGACAAATACCATTTCTCCTAGTTACCAGAACTTTTCTCTTAGACAGTAAACAGTGCAAAGTTTTGATACAGTCTTTAGTTCTTAAGGAAGGAGAAAAGTCAGTTTTGCAGTCTACACTGCATTAAAAGAATTTATTAATAGCATTCACTGCTATAACAACCCATCTCCAAGTCCAATATAAAAAACATAATACATTCAGCTGTCTTATTCTGATGTGGTTTGGAAAAGGGTAAGTAAATATTTAAGCGGAACTACTATTGTAACAATTTAAGTGATAAAGAGGACTGCTACAGTGACAGCATATAGTGATTTCCACTGACCTCATCAGGACTATTTCCATATGTAAATTTTTGAAGTATGCTTAATCACTTACAGTGTCAGGACTAAAATTTACAGACACTTGAGGACCAAATGGGATGGGGAAGGAAGATGGAGTTACAGCTTTCCACTGTGTCAATTTATTAATCTGTATTGAAAGATTTCAGTAATACTGAATATAAATTTTAGACTCTATTACATAATCAGAGCATATTTGTGCTCTGCACTAGGATCTCAGCTTTAAAAAAGTCCAGATTGAATCCATAAGGCTCAAAACCAAATATGAAAGTCTACTTTGATCATGAAAGTGTAAGGAAAAAACCACTTTCTATATGTGGTTTTAATTATAACAGAATTTAAACAATGGAATTATGTTTCAATGGTACAATCACGTTCAAAGTTACAATGCAGGTAGTAACCCAGTCATATTAAGTGTAATGTAAGCCAAGGTAAAAATAAAACTACAGTTGCCCTTACCGCTCAGGTGACTCTTCAAAAATGCTGTGACACTCAGTGTTCTCAAGCATGAGACTTCGGCTGAGGTTCTGTACTCCTGGGTAATGGAAGTTAGCAAAGGAGTGTGACATTGGAGAAGTTTTGGTCCCAAGGTCTGTGACTCGCTTATCATGATTCGTTAATCCACATGACAGCCCATCTAAGGCAGGATTTAAGGAGCGGGTCATGTAAGCATCTGCTGATTGAGGCCGTCTCATTGGGGATGATGGATAAGGAGAAAGTTTGCTGATTAGAGGTGTCAAAAGATCAGCATACGCAGCTTTTGTAGGCTTGAGGAGTTTATCAACATGAATATTAAGCATCTTTTGTTCAAAAGCACAAGAAAAAACAGTTGCTGGTAGATTCTGCAGCCATGACAATAAACTAAGGTCCAAATCATCACACCCATTACCACACAAGAGATCGATGCCCAGCAATACTTCACTTTCTGTGATTTCTTCTCCTGTTGCTTTACTCTGACAGAATTCCACACAACATTCATAAAGCAATCCCTTCATTACAAGCTGAAATAAACGATTGTTACTTGCTTTGAAGCCAGCCTCACTCAGTTTCCTATCGGCAGGAATAAACTCTGCCACCATGACGCAGGCTTCTTCAAAGCAGTGAACCCGTGCAGTGCTGGGATTCCAGTCCTTGAATTCCGCGTGGTTGGTCAAGCGAGGCAGTGTCAGTAGTAAGCAGAGCTTACTATAGTCTTCCTTAGAGGGACAATATTCTTCCAACGCATGTAGGCACTGTACAGCCTCTCGCATTGTAAACTCCAGCTACAGAAATATTAACAGGAACAGAGTTTGTAGTACATGTGTTTCTACAATAAAGCAGTCATTTGAAGAAGAACAGGCAGTAGCAGAATTTCTCCACTATCTTTTCTTTGTTACTATTACTGTTTTCATTAAAACAGCATACAATACAGAGTCTGAAATTGCTGATGCAAATGCAGTTAAAACAGAGCCAAATTCCCAGATGCTTTGACTTCCTATAATCCCCTACCCAGTCCCATTTTCTACACATCTATTGAACTTTCTCATGTCACTGCAGGTTTGATAGGCTTAAAATTTCAAATCTGTAGCTAAACAGCTCCACTTCTATTCTAGCACTGAAGGTTACTTCCATTCTCAAAGCCAACTGACTTGTTTTCCCTTTTTTTTTTTTTTATGAAAAGCTATTGGCATAAATTATAGAAGGCTTGTGCATTTCACTAGTTTACAGTGATCAGCAACTTGGAGTTGACTTTTAAGAAGTTCAAAATATTCTCAGAAGATCAGACCTCCAAATGAATAGAAGGCTTTAGTAAAAAGCTTGTTAGCTAGAATCCAAGAAACCACGTTAAACACGTAATTTGGCATTTTTAGGTACAAAGATTTCAAAAACAATAAAAAGCCTGACTTATCCATGTTACCTAGGATATGCTTGATACAGTAGCCTTCCATCCAGAACATGCCAACATATTTGGTAACATTCAAAACAAAAAATAAAGGATATATCTGCATATTTTTCTTCTACTGCTATCTAGAAATAGTATACTGATTGAGAGATTAGAGGAATAGTACACCTTCCCATTACAACTATAAGGACAGCTTTCTCTACACTGTCAAGAGAAGACCCTGCAGTAAAATGTATATGTAATGGGGCAGAGAAATGAAATCAATTCAGTTTGGAAAATGAAATCAGTTGTTTTAAAACTAACAGCATTCTTAATTTTTCATTTAATAACATTTTTATCTTAGAAATTAATTTCATAATCTGCACACCTTCTTTGCTAGTTTATGTTTCTTTCCATATTGAAAGCCTAAGTTCACAACTCCTGCTGTTTCACATTTAACTGAATCAGTCCTTCATGAACACATCTGTTCCCTCCAAACAACTGTGTCCTTTCTCTCTAAAAGCACAGAAATCAAGGTTAACTCAATTCAGAATCTTTCACCTGATCCTGATTGTGACAATAAATTTCTGTGATTCTGAGACTTGCTTCAGAACACTTTTGGAAAAAAGAGTCTTGCACTTTAGCATAATGGCCTAAAGTAAATCCCAGGATCAGGACCACAAACATTGGCTGTTCTGTGCTGCTAAATTTCAAGCAACCCATGTATACACAATTCTATTTGAGACCTGGAGCCACATTCATTTCCAGAAGATACCAATTATTTTTTCCCATTGTTTATGAAACCATTTGGTAACAGCCAAAATTTGTTTATTCTGTGCTGGGAGCTCCCGCTCTGCCTTTAATCAGAATGTCTCAAGAGGCTTCCTGACACCAAAACCCAAACCAGAGACAACTCTTACATGCTGAGGCTCATCTTCTGCCGACATCGCATTGTTTACACATAAGGCTTCCAAGAACTTCTGCTTCATTATAATGTAACGAAATCTGCAGGTAAGAAGTGAAATACTACACATCATGATCCAGTAGCTAAACATTCTTTTAGAGACAAGCAAGGTATTTTACAGCAAATTTGATACAGACATAGAAATTGCAGTGACAAGGAACTCTGATGTGAAATTTTAACAAATTGTTAACCACAAAATTATTTTTTAACAGGAAAGTTACTTTTCAACTATTGCTTTCAGAAATATTACTTTAAAAATATTAGACAGTAATAAGAAAAAAGTATAGCAATCACACTTATTTCTTGAATGGAAATATGACAGAGCAGCTAAATGTAAAAACTATAAAAAAAAAAAAAAATAAAAAATCACAGAATGGTCTAGGTTGGAAAAGACCTTGAAGAACATCCAGTCCAACATATCCAGTCCACGAGCACAACATGCATCATAGTGCTAAAGAGTATGGCAAATGAAAACTCATTACAGACTGCGTGCACATATTATAGTTTGTTAAAAAATGCATGCACGCACTTTAGGAACTGTACACAGGTTAGAAAAAACAAAACCTAAAGGTGAAGAACTTAGAACTACTGCTTTCATAGACAATACTTAGAAATTCATGTATTTTCCACAACTCAGAAAATTGAACTCTGACATACATTCAATTTTACCTTTTCTTGTCGAATTTTTCCATGCATTCCAGAGGCTGAATAAATTGAAGAACCTCATCCCACTGACCATCAAGAATCAATTGCCTAGAAAAAGAAAGAGTCACTCCTTCAGTTTCACTGGACAAGAACATCCCTCCTTCTCATTTAAACACATTAACAGGGGATCAACCTGCTTTGAGAAGTTACACAGTGCACAGATGCCAAGATGACTCTCTGACATGACAAGTAATAGGAACAAAATCCAAGTCTTTTCTCAATATTTTGCAAGAAGAACTGCATACTGGAAGGACAAATAATGACTTTTAAAGGCACATCCAAAAGGACAAAATGGTCCTTGTGTCTCTACTTCACCTGTAATTCTCATTTAAAAAAAAAATAAAAAAATCTTACTTGAAGAGTACAAATATATTGATAGAACAAATACATCCTGAAGAATGAAAGTGAACTTAAAAATGAGTTAATTTGAATTGCATAAATATTGCTGGGCCTATTTTATAATGAGGGTTGGGAAAACACACAGCTCCCATATTAAGAATGTAAGAAGAGCAGCTTGGCAGAACTATGCCAGCACAAGAGCTCCAAGACCAGTGGGCTAGACTGTACAGGTGGATTAGTTTCATTTCTTCACACCCTTAAATCTCCATAAAAGGCCCAGGTCTACAAGGGGCAAGTTTCTCCTTAGATGTATACTGCAACTAAGCTAAAAATGAAACAAATAATTAATAACTTTAATCTTTCTCTAATTCTTCTTGAATTTAATTTTATTCCAGTATCTGTAATATTAATCAAAAGGATGCAAGGTGAGAAATCTTGTTCAGTAATAAAATATTTTTTGATGTTTTAAGTACAGCTGGATAAATTATTTTGTCATGCTTCTACAAAGTTAAGTACTTTGGCATGAAATAGAAAACAGCAATGCTAAAAACTAGCATGCATCTATAGTGACTCCTTTTAATAATTCTGAGGGCAATATCCTGAATGGTAAATAAAACCAACTCTCACACCCCAATGACAGCGGACACTCCTTTCATACTGTTAAAATAAAAGAGAAATCTAGGTATTATTTTGAAATACAGATAATATTTTGGGGAAAAATCTTTGGAAACCACCCCATCTCAGATCTTATTGTCAAAATACTTTATTTTAGAAGTCAATAAACTACACATTAGTTTTGTGTGACATGGTAAGCAGATAATAACACATCACTGATGCCAACAGATCTTGTTCACCATCCTATTTCTGCTCACATGCTTTCCTTGACTTAACCTGCACCGCCACTTACTAAGAGTCCTTCCCACTTGAATTCATCATCATGCCAGAAAAATGACTACGTTAAAATGAATAAACAAGCAAACAAACAAAAATTCTAACTCAGAATATATTAACTTCAGAGCTGGAATACAATGCAGGGCTAGAGCACAAGAACTGTGGTCAGAAGAAGCAGATGAGGGCATAAGACCTCCAGTTTAGTGGCATGGGGCTGCCCACAGACCAACTGTATGTTTTCATGTATGTTGTATTGAAGCACCAGAGAAAGAAGTCCTACCTTAGAAAAAGCATGTCATCTGAAAACAAGCCATTAATGACCCCACTTTCTTTCTCAAGGGCCAGCATACTGATATGAAGTTTCCTTGAGTTCAGAAAATCTAGTATTAGTTTAATTATTTCAGCTTCTTTAACATTCACTGTTTCTTCAGCCGTCATGATGGCTGCCTAAAAGGGAAGAGATAATTATAGCTATGATCAATATCTTATTTTATGCTTGGTTAACAAATGTTGGCTACTAAAAAAAACCCCAACAAAATACAAGGTTTTTAGAATAGAACATTGCAGCATTATGAAAATTAAATAGATTACAAAATTCATTTTAAGAGGTTGATTATGAAGCCACACCTAACAATGCATCTGAATCTTTTTTTTGTCCTATGCATATACTGAGGACAAACAAATCTACCAAGAAATCAATCCACCTGCAGTGTGAAAATATCGTGCATACTAAGTTTGCAATATTAAAATTTTCCTTTCTGAAATGCAAGCAGTGAAGTTCAAAGACCATAAAAGTGAGCGAGCTAGTTACTGTGTCATTACCTAGAGATCTTCTATATAAATGTTTCTAACACATACAAAAAGCACAGCACACTAAAAATGCAGTCTCCTCCCACCCCATTTCTGAAGTAGTGTATGACAGTTAAGCCAGGGGTTTTCACTCTTTTTTCACACGGACACCTACTTCTGTCTATATGCTTCATGAAGAACCTAAAACTGCAAACCTAAGGTGATCTAAGCCAGTTTGACCACCAACTGCCAGTCCCACTCATCTGCCACCAGCCATGTGCTCCTGGCCCTTCCTTTGCACTCCTCACTTTGTCACTGGGTTAGCTTTTCCATCAACTATTGTGTTGAAGTGGCTCAGCAGTTTAATGATCTCTCCAGCCAGCAGAAAGTAGGAAGACACAGCTGGGACAGTGAGAGGCCAAGGCCATGGCTGCCAGCAGCGTTTAAAGCCCCCATGGATGCCCCGTCTAAGCTCCTTTGTAACACAGTTCCTCCAAGGATATGAGAGTTGTAGCATGTACTTCTCTTAGGAAACCTAAAATAAATTCTGCTTCTGGCTAAGTCTTGCATGGTTCCTTAAGTCTGACTTAAAGTAGAAGCTGTTCAACTGGGGTTTTTAAAGCCTTAAAAAGACTTTACAGCTGTAATTCCTAAGCTGATCTGCTGAAAACTGTCTGGGGATGTGGGGAGAAACCCTGTAACACTGCCAAGCCACATAGCATTGGCTCATCAGGAACTCTTCAAAAAAACGCTAGCAGCTACAAGAATGTGATTTCACATCAGGAAAAATACAATTTAATCCCGTGTTACTGCAGAAAGGGGCAGTCCCTGTTCTCACCTCTGCACTCAGCCACAGTCACTTCATGGCACCCACAATGGAGCTGTATGGTTAGCCAGATCACTTCTCTGATCCAGGTGCTAGTTCAATGTTTATTCACTCCCTGTACACAAGGAACTTACAGAGCTTTGCTTTCTGGCAGTAGCAAAGTCTGAACCTGACTTAAATTGATTATGGGAATGCACCAAAGAACAGAAGAAGCAAGTATTGGTGAATAACCATCAGCAGGAAGCAATACCCCCAGGAACAAGGAGAGACAGTGGAATAACAGGGATCAGAAGAACTAATAAAGGCAAGATGTCCACAAGAATAGGTTATAGGTTAAAAGTGCTCCCACTTTTAATTCAAAAGGGGAAATAAAAATACTACTTAACTCCTGCACACAGCCATTAACTTAGGCAGAAATCTAACAACTACACAACCAGCCACAGATGATGCAGCTCCAAAGACAAGCTGAAGAGATGATGCAGCCTCCAGATATGCTGGCCTAGGAAAACTGAATCCCATTAGCTAGTTATCTATCTCATATTAGGAAAGATGCACAGAAGCTGGTAATAAGAAATCGGAGAACAGATAAAAGTTTGAATAATCCAAATAAGACACTCAAAGTATTAACAAGAAATAAATTATTTACTTGAAAACAGGGGAAGAGACAAATAATCCAGTGAAACTTCTCACTGATCATCATAAACTAATGCTAATGAACTTGAAGGGATACAAAAAAATTCGGCATTACTAAGAGGGGGTTTTGTACTACATCGTCCAAATCCCCAGGTTTCCCCATCTTCCTCACAGCTCTGTGCCAACCTTTTTTCCAAGTAAGTTTCTGCCAGAACTAGAAAAGCATTTGATTATAGTAGCATAATTTATTTTGGAACAACAGAGACCTAATTGTGCCAGATGAAGTGGACTAACTTCTTTTTAAAAATGGCTGTGCTTAATTCTCATTTTAGTCATTGAAGACTCCAATCACCAAGTATTTTGATGGGTCTCATGAAAGAAACCCAGAGACCATGTGCCCATTTTCAGCTAGTAGAGTCAAAGGAAAAAATTAAAAGCTGGCTTGCAGAATGCTTTGTTGCAGGAAAGAAGGCAGACAGACACAAATCCAAAACTAGAACCTGAAACAGTATGAAAATGTAAGGAAAAAGCATCTTTCAAGAACTTCCCCTTTTGGCAAATGGATATGGATTTTTGGTCCCAGAGAAAAATTCAACACTACTCTTATACATTGAAAGAAAAAAAAAAAAAATCAACACAAATTTATGAGTAGTTTAGTATTAACATCTTAATTCCCAGCCACACCTAATGCATTTGCATTTCTCATATTATGTTTTATGGCACTGGTGGTTCTTATATAAAATAAATTAATTTCCTTGCCAAAAGACAAAGTAAAATTTAAGCAAAGCTATGCTGAGACTACCCATCAGAAAACTACTGGAAAAACTTAGACTGACTCTCTTTGAAAAAAGGAACACCAAGTCCAGCTTTCTTTTCAACTGAATCTACTACACTCAAGTCTAAATGGGAAGCCACCCTACATAGCTTCAAGATTAATTCTCAAAATTAATTATTTATATATTCTATTGATGGAAAAATGAGCATAATACTCAGTACACTGCTTAAGAGTACACCTACATTAAGTAAAATCTAGCATTGGCAAGAAGTTGTCTTCCATTTCCATTGTAGTTTTAAAAACACAGGTTTGTCCTGAAGATAACACTTTATTTAAAATGCCCACATAAATTAGGATAAAGGATGATCAGCACGGTCCATATATGATAGGGGAATAGTAACAGCATTTTGGGGGTCCTGTTCAGAAAAACATAATTCGTGAAGAAGAATCAAAGTACATTGATAATCTCAGACATTAACAATATTATGAAAGTATTTAGTGTGCATTTCCTGTCAGAGCACACAAATAGCTAGAAAAGAATGGTAAATCTACTAGAGAAGATTTTCACATAATTTATGATTTTTTAAGGATGATGAGCTCAGACATCTCTTATAAGCATTATACAGTCAAATTAACAAGCAGCACTGTAACACTATAATTAAATTAAAAATATACAGACTTACACATCACCCCCTATGAAATATATCAGTTTTTCTGCCATTCAGTGGGGGGTGTGTGTGTGTATGTGTACAAATAATAACAACAACAATAATGCAAAGAAGATCAGGGAAACTCAAGATTAGAGATCAAGCTTCATCTTTGGTCCATCTCACTATATGGCATTCTGCCAGCACATATGGCACACAATGTCACAATCTGATCAGCTCAAGCACTAATACTCAAGAATGACTGAAGCACAGCCTTAGTTTGAGGTACAAATGAAAGTAAATGAGTGTTAGAGCTTAACATTTCAGGTGACTTTTATCAACCAGGTTTTTGCTACCACCTTTTAATCTTACCCAGACTTTTCAGAACAGCACTTTTCCACAACTGCCCTCCTTCCTTTTCTCCTGTCCATTCCCCCTTATTATCTCCCCTTAGTTCTGTATTTAAATTCGCTTTCCTCTTAATAAATCTACATTAAAAAAAAAGTTCTTGCCACAAACCTGGCGTATGTTTTCTCTGTAGCTTCAATGGACAAGATGTCCTTTAAACAAACTCTTTGAAACATAGACTACCTACTCCTAAATTTTCCACAGACGGGTTTCACTTTGTTCTGTTCTTACTCATGTTCTAAGAACATACCAACAGCAAGAACCTTCTCATGGTGTTATAAGCGTGGAAACCAATTCTTTAAAATAAAAACCCACTTATGCATATAAATACACTATTTCAGGAAAATGTTTTTAGACCCGAAGTGGCTATAAATAGTGTCTAAGTAGTCTTTCCTTACATCATCTCCCTTAGAAGAAATTTAAAATGTATACACATTCACGTGATAGAAAGTTAAAGTAAGGTTTAATATTCTGGAAAGCATGTAAAAAGTGAAATTCTAAAATAAGCATTATTCCTATGCTATTTCTCATCTGAAATAGATCACTTGCCAATAGTATATGACATGCATTCACAAAACTGGGCAAAGAACATAAAATAACTACTCAGAAATACAGGAAAGAAGTATTATAGTTCAAATCTCAAGTGTCATACTGAGAGTACAGCAATATGTTTAAAGGGAGAAGCAATGCCTAATTAGAAGTCTTGGTTTGCTGACTTCAACGACAGCTGCAACGCATACCCATATAACCTCAGCATCTTTCTTGGTGAGCAATATCACAGAAAAACTGAACATGAAGTAGCAGCACATACTTAAAAAGCTGGCTGGTTTGTGTTGTTATTTCACCTCTTAATCCACCCCACAGTCACTTATGTAAGACTCTTGGGCCTGCCCAGAGGCCACTCTGGAGTTCGGCCTACACAGACCCCACGGGGAAATCAGGGCCTGGTCAGTACCTAGTGGCTCCGTTTGTGATGTGCCCTCAATCATCTTTCAGTTACTCTATATCAAAAGAATTTTTTTTTAAAAAGTGTATAGGCCAAATTTTTTATTAGAGTCATCTTCCAGTTATTCTATATAAAAAACTTCACAAAACATACCTACAAGCCAAAATTATTACAATCGATTCCCACAACTGTTAGGGTAAATGGGTGTCGGTGAGTCGCACTAAGAGACCGCACAATCCATTATTTCAAATGAATTATATTGAAAGTAGTAAGCTCTCCATAGAAACCTTTACCAAACTCTGTAGTTGAACTCTACAATTGAAACATTATTTTACTCCTACACATCAAATAGGTAACCTCTTACATATCAGCCTTTTCTTCCTCACACAGATTTTTCACTGGCTTGCCCTCTAATAATTTTTTTTTTTAACCCTGCTTACATCAGCTGTTGCTTTAGAGCCACCACAGTAATCCTTATATCACCAGGCTTTAGAGGTGACCAGCAGAGCCCTGTATATTCATCAATCCCTGTTACAACATGCACACTTTACCCAGAGCATTCTGCATCATGAATGCCAAAAAGGTGTCATTAAATTATGCAATACTTCCATATTAGAATGAAAATAGAATGCAGAAAACTAAAAAACCCGAAAAAATGACAGATATTAGAAAGGAATGCGTTTGGACTAAAAAAAAACCGCTCCTGCTCCAATTTTTTTTTTTGCCTCTTCACGTGCGATTCTACACGAAATCCACCTCTGCTGGTGAAAGGGTTCAAAACAACCGCACTGTTTAATTACACAGCGCCCAGCCCGAATTAGCATTTCGGGAATGTCAGCTCAGCACCAGCAGCCGGCAGGGCCGCAGAGAAGCCGACGCTCCTTTGAAGCGGCCCCGGAGCCAGGGCACACCCGCCGCCGCGCC